AGCTTTGGGGTTAATTACAAGCAAACAAACTGTCTACCAACTAATTGATAACCAAAGACGAGTCCTAAAGTTTATCACGTGGTCGTCACTTGCTTTATTCCAAATTTTATACCTTGTGTTTCTATACATATAAATAACTTACACTGATTACGATTTTAGATAGTTAACTGATGTATCAAGATCCTTATCGTCCTTTCGATTATTTTCACAATAAACATTAACCGGTAAACATTAACCAGTAAACATTAACCGGTAAACATTAACCAGTAAACATTAACCGGTAAACATTAACCAGTAAACATTAACCAGTAAACATTAACCGGTAAACATTAACCAGTAAACATTAACCGGTAAACATTAACCAGTAAACATTAACCGGTAAACATTAACCAGTAAACATTAACCAGTAAACATTAACCGGTAAACATTAACCAGTAAACATTAACCGGTAAACATTAACCAGTAAACATTAACCAGTAAACATTAATCAGTAAACATTAACCGGTAAACATTAACCAGTAAACATTAACCGGTAAACATTAACCAGTAAACATTAACCGGTAAACATTAACCGGTAAACATTAACCGGTAAACATTAACCAGTAAACATTTCCTTTCTATTCTAGCTACAAAGGAACTAGACCTAAAGAAAAAGATGGAGTGTTTAGAAGACCGTCTGTCGAACAAGGTAAGGTCGTTTTTCTTACATGATGTGTGGGGTTTGGAGCTGCTAGAGAGGATATCCTTCTTATAGTCTTCCTGAGATTTGCCCTAACAAACGAACAGCCGTGAACTCGCTAACGCTCAATGGCATACTTAATAAACACACACACACACAAAAAAACCCTCTTCACAAAGAACTGTGTATAATTATTTGTGAAACCGGTCAACAGTTTATAACTGAATCTTTTCAGAGTCTCTATGTATTACCATATACTTCCCCCCTCCCCCCCCAGTGAAGATAATGATATGTGTCTATGTTAGTCTAGTGTGTGTATGTGTTTGTTAAAGGGGACAAGTGGGGACATTCTTCTGGGGACACACCTGTATTCAAAGATGTCCTCATTTACCGATTCATTTAATATCCGTGTTTCGAAGTATTTTTAGGCCCTACCGACTATTTAGTGGTTTACAAATATGACCTCATTTCTAATATGTTTCAGTATATCGAGCATTTACCACGTGGTCACGTGCCGTGTTGATATGCAAATTGAAGTCTTTAGTTCCTGATTTTTCGATAGTTCTAGTGATCATGTGACAATATTGATTCTTTTGGAGATTTTGTTCGTCTATTTTAGAGTTAAGAGCAGGACGTGAGGCCTAGAACCGAGAAGAACCTTTCGGGAAACCACGTCGATACTTCGTACAACTTCGATAAAAAGTCGTCAAATCTTCGTGTAACTTCTAAACTTGTGTGGTATTCGTAAAGGTTATTATAGCCTCCATACCACATGAACAAACTTGAAAGCTAAAAAAGTATTTTTTATAAATTTTCATCAATTATGATATAGAAATTTAAAACGAGAAGAGTCTCGCTTTCTGTTTTGAAACCAGTTTGTACATCTCAACAATAAACAAAAATAACGTGTCATTGGCCAAACGATCGGGAGAGGGCAGCACTTCACAAGAACTGGTTTGTTTTGAATTTCGCGCAAAGCCACACGAGGGCTATCTGCGCTAGCCGTCCCTAATTTAGCAGTGAAAGATTAGAGGGAAGGCAGCTAGTCATCACCACCCACCGCCAACTCTTCGGCTACTCATGTACCAACAAATAATGGGATTGACTGTCATATTATAACGCCCCACAGCTGAAAGAGCGAGCATGTTTTGTGAGATTGCGAGTCAAGCGCCCCCTAACTACCTGGCTATGCCGGGCCGACAAGGAACTAAGCATTAATTATTGAATATTTTAACTCGTTATTATACTTTTATAAACCTGATTTACATCTTTATTCACGCGCAGTAGTGTTGAGATGCACATGTTCAAGTGGAAAGTCTTGGTACTATAAGTTAAGAGGTCATCTTTAATCTACTGTGCTCTGTTTCCGAGCGATACGTATCTTGTTTCTCCCACCAGTGTGTATTTAATCAGTTATTATAGTGTTGAAAAGGCTTATCATAGATATCATTCCCCCATCTTCATCACGCACAGTTCCTCAAATTATGATACACGAAGCCATCTGCGCATAGCCCACCAATTTTGAACTGATATATTAAAGAGAAGACAGCT